AACATTTTTCTTACATAGTATAAATGAGTCTTAAAAAAAATAAAATAATAATAATATATATATATATATATATTTTTAGGAGAGTGATCATCATATTTAGAGGCTCTTGACATCAAAAACTGTATAGCAGCTGTTTTTTTAGCTCATCTGCTTGCATAAATGTTCCCATTTTGTTGCTTTTTTCCCAGCTGTCACAAACCTCTCCTCTCATCCACAGTGATTGATGCTCCCAGCCAGGTGGATGTGCGTGATGTGACAGACACTACAGCCCTTATCACCTGGTTTCAGCCTGTCGCTCAGGTGGACGGCATCTCTGTGTCCTATGGCCCAAACACAGATTCCTCAGACAGGAAAACAATCAAGCTTTCCTCCATGGATACACAGTACCATCTGGCTGAGCTGTACCCTGACACAGAGTATGAGGTCTCTCTCATGGCCCGCAGGGGAGAGATGACCAGCTTTCCAGTCTATGAGACCTTCACAACAGGTACAAACTCCTTTCAACAACTAGAAATCATTTCAGAAACTTAAAGTGAAAATTCAGTCTGCTTTAGCAAGTCTACTGATAATTGTGTGTTGTACTTAGACCTGCATTGAAGCAGTTTTGTTTGTCTTGCCCTGGAGGATAACTGTACGTCTACAGGAAGTATTTTCTTTCATCCTCATGTTGGCATGTTTCAGACCTTGATGCCCCCAAGCACCTCAAGGCAGTTGAACAGACAGATGAGAGCATAACTCTGGAGTGGAAAAACAGCAGAGCCAATGTCCTCAATTACCGCGTCAAATACGGCCCACTTTCTGGAGGAGAGCATGGAGAACTGGTCTTCCCCAGCGGCCCGCAAGACACCACTCAGGCTAAAATCACTGGTGAGAGGCCAATTTGAATTACACAATAATTCATCTCCAGTGATCACAAACCACATCAATTACAAACAGATCATAGAGATCAAAAACTATGTTTGAACAGTGGAATAAAATTAGGCTTAGGTGCAGTGTGCACCAAACACTAGAGCAGTTTTCAGTAAACCAGTTTATTTTTATTTTAATACTTGAAAATGACCCATCTGCACTTCCAAGCCATTTGTATCCTCTTGAAATTAGAAATGTAGTTCTCAGGTGTTGAAGTGTGAAGTCAAATTTTCAAAAAGCATTCTCAAACAGGATTTAAAGGGGTCATATGATGGTTTTTTAAAGATCATTATTTTGTGTATTTGGTGTAACAGAATATGTTGACATGCTTTAATGTTCAAAAAACACATTATTTTTCAAATTGGAATCCCGCTGTAGGTCTGAATAGAACTAGGCTAATTCAAAATTTTCCTACATTTTTAAGCATCAAAGCTCCAAATGGGTTTTTTTCCCCCCATACTTGTACCTATTAACACTTTATTTCTAAATGAGCGCATTTGTTTTAGTAATGTGAAACGTTTACATGACTAAAAGGGAATGAGATGCTATCCCTTTTGTTGGTAATGCCTTATTCATGCCTTAAATGAAGTAACACTGGTGCTTCAATGTGAAAATCCCAGTCAAAAAGGGAAAGCAGAGGCTTTCTTCGTCGCAGAAGCACTTCTATTATACACTTGTGCTTTGAGGCAATCTCCTGTGCTAATTCTTATTCTCTACAACCATGTGTTACCGCAAGCAGGGATTATCATGGCTGGGAGAAAAATAGATTCAAAATGGATAATAGATTCTTTGTCTGGTTTGCTCCTTTGTCCTTGGGCGGGCTGTTCCCTGTAAATAAGGCGGACGATCTGTTCGACTAAATAATGCAGAGTCTCTCTCTCACACACACATATCACTAGTTGTCTCTTTCACACAGTTATTATCTGTAATTGCTGTCACGCCTGTGATTTTATTGATAATGAGCTTCCTCTGCATTAGGCGTAATTTCATGCTGGAGGACTCCTGCACAGTGACCTCTGCAGGAGCCAATACAGGCATTAAGAGGGGTAAAGTGTGGGATTTGGGCTAAGGGGATCTGAGAATCGCTTGCATGATGGTAAATATTGTTTCTGGCCTGTGGAGTAGTTCTTTGATGCGGCCAATGAGAGGCATTAGATTGATATGGCGTGCAGATGAAATTGAAACAGTGCTGTGGCAAGTACGAAAACAATTGCCTACCACGGAGGTTCCAAAAACAACTAATGTGAGAGATTAATGGTTTCTTTTGTCTAATGATTTGAGAGGATTTGATTTGTTGGGCCCTTTTCTTAGGCCTTAGGCCCGGGACGGAGTATGGAATGGGAGTGACGTCAATCAAGGAAGAGCGTGAGAGTTTGCCTGTGACGACCAATGCTGTGACTGGTAAGACTTAACAAAATGGTCAGCAACTCACATGTTTTACTTCTCTCAATGTGCTCGTCTTCCCCCTTTTTTCCTCTTATAAAGGCCAATAAAGCCCAGTTTCTTAATAAAGCCCAGTTGTAGGGTATGTAATGTTAAACGATTCACTCACTCTTATGTCGAAAGTGAACGAGGACTGGGGCTGTCAAGTACCAAATTGAGAAAAAAGCACCGTGTCAAAGTACTCATGTATCATAAGAATTGTCCATATGACTCCTGTGCCATAATTCAAATCATCTAAAGCCTTTGTGTGACAAACAGACCCATAATGTAAATTGTGATTTATTGAAAATAGTGACATCCACCATAGCTCTTTTTGGTTTGTTCATGTTGGATTTGTAAATGATTAATTCTTTTGAATTGGATAATTTTAATGAATTATATGATCCAGTTCACAAAACAGGTCTAAATGATTTGTTCAGTTCTCAAGTTCAGCTCACTGACTCAATCATCTGGTTACAATGGTTAACAGCCCCCTGGATTATCAAAAGTAGCTTCAGAAGATTTCGAATATAACAAACGAGTGATTATTTTATTATTTTTATGATTCTTTTGCATTCTTCTTGAAGCTTAAAAGCTCCAATTCCCATTCATTCAATTGCATGGAAAAAAGCAACCAAATTTTTTTCAAAATTTCTACTGTTGGATTCAACGGAACAAAATACAGGTTGGGACGATATGAGGATAAGTAAATGATGACAAAATTGTTCATTTTTTTAAATTAACTTGTCCTTTAATGTAATGTCCCGGTCCTTTTAGATCTTGATGCTCCCAAAGACCTTGAAGTAAGTGAGACCACGGAGACCACATTGGCACTGGTTTGGAGGAGGCCGGTCGCCAAAATCGACACCTATGAGCTGGTGTTCACATCTGCGGATGGCACAGAAACTGAATTGGAGGTACCTGGTGCTGCCAATACCTACATCCTGACTGACCTGAATCCCGGCATGCTGTACACCATTAGCCTGACTGCCAAGAAAGGAAGAAAGATGAGTGTGCCAGCCACTCTGTCAGCATCCACAGGTTAGTATGCATCATTACATTTTCATATGTATATTAAGAATGCATCTTCACATCCCCTTTAGTTTTGCCCCTAGAGTGACAAAAGCAATATTGGTTTGAATCATAAAATAAGCTTTCAAAAATATGATTTGAATCTATTTGTTTTTTCACCCATAAAAATTTATTCAGCAGGCCACTGAGGATCTGAAGGCAACTCTGGAATTTATTATCTTTGCTATTTTCCCCCCATAAGTGTCAATATTTCTTTTGGAGTTTGGAGATACTGCAGTCCTTGTTCTGTGAATTTGAATTAAACATTTTGTAGCTCCTTATCATGAGAAAACTTCCATAAAAATCTCAAAACATTCATATTGTCAGTATGCCACCATGTACTGGAAACTGAAGCCTAATATCCCTCTTCTCTGTCCTCATTTATAGCATTTTTCTTTTTAGAGAAAAACCAATGAAAGCCAAAATCTCTGTGGACAGAATGCTACTTACTTAACTTCCAAAATTTTGTTACCAGAATGTTCTTGCTTATATAACAGGATAATCATTGACTAATACCAAGGAGCTACAGAATATAACATCAGTTGTTTGCTTTGGTCGCCAAGGCAAGACAACAGATATAGTGTTTCTCAAGATCCCAAACACACACACTCACACACGCTCAGAAAGCTCATTCATGTGATAATCGTCAGAGTGAGCCCACTCCCCTTTTGGATTTGTGTGATTTGACCACAATGAACTGTGGGGTGGACTGATAAATAGGACACATGCTGAGCCGCCTGTTAAAATGTTGTCTCTGAAATCACCAGTACTATAATCCCAATGCATTTATTTCAGCAGCCATTATCGGCCTTAGATACGGCACACAAACATGGGCATACACTTCCCTCAGACCCAATGGAAATGGGAAGGTGGGGGGCAGGGAGACCTTGAGGTCTGGGCTTTCTTCTGCTCACTGAATGCTTCTTTGGCATGATTATATGAGTTTAAGCCTGTAACTTGGAGACCTGATGACCAAGACCATTTCAAAGGAAACATATGAGGACACAACCAGGCCAAAAATGAGAGAGCAAACAGTCACTTATGCATGCACAAAGTTATGTTATGTTGTGTTAAGGTATCAGCAAAATTTTGTGGGCAAAAAAGGTCTATTGTCAATAGTGTAGCTATTTACTGTATGAAGCAAAGCTTACACAGAAGTCACTTTCAAACCAAGAGGCTTTCTGTTGGTCAACACAGCAAATCCTTGAGACCAGTTTGAACCCGTTGCAAAATCTCTGTGGGGAAATCTTTCACCTTCACACAAAATTCCCACATGGATACCCATTGAAATAACAAAAATTTGCCTGCGAAAATTCACCAAACAACGGTAAATGGGACGTGTGCATGTTTACAAAAAAGGCTTTATCCAAACACCCTTGAGGTGTTTGTGGCTTGAGGATCTCACAGTGATAAAGCCATTCTTTTATTCTGTCTCCTCCCATTAATGCATGCGTGCAGTGAAGGCCATTCCTCAGACATACATGGGCCGCTTTCAGTGGAGGGAACTCTATTGGATAAGTGTGCAAAATGAATCAATTTCACTCAATTTCAGTTCCCATGAATGACGCGAGATGATCAATGAGTTGTTTTGCTGTTTGGCAGCTTCGTATTGTTTCATCTCCAGGTTTCTAAAGCGACAATCGGCCTTTATGCCTGGGAAGTTCATTCACTTCATCCCCATTGTCTCTCTCCCTATTTGCACGCCACATTTCTGCCCTTTTGAATGTGCATAGACAGGATAATGGTTAGCCCACCGTGCATTTCTTAGCTATCTGCCCCCTCTTTGCCTGTGAATGCTGACAATGCACAATGATGTTCAGTTATAGGTTGCAATGCACCGCGCTGCATGGCTGCCTCCCATATTTGAAGTGTTCAGCGTACCTCTGCTCAGGCAGGCTAGGCAGGACCTTCAAAAATTAATGGCTTTTCTCAGGGCCATTAATACCAAAGCTGTCTCAGCAAGCTGGTGCTTGGATGTTAATAGGTTGCAAGAGAAAAGACTGCAAATTAGTTTGTTTGTCACTACAACGTTCTGACAGTTATTCTTCACAGTTATTACTGTTTTTTTTTCTGTTTTTATTTCTTTTTACACTGCATGGGCAGATGTTCCTGTTCTGTTTGGAATGGATGGAGATGAATTTGTTAGGAGTAACAAATTAAAATGTTTATTGTTGCTCATAACATGAATTTTTTTCCCTCTATTTGTTAAAATGCTTTGCATTGTTTTGAATAATGTGAAACAATGTACAGTGTGGATTTTTAAATGTCTTTTGTTTGTTTTCTGGTCTTTTTGTTTTTACTTCAATTCATTCGGCTCCAAGAAATAAAAACGACCATCAAAGATAGAATGCCTTAAGAAATCAGCCCAACCTGTTCAGTCACCATTTCCTATGATGTTCTTCTTCTGTATGTACCTTTTCTTGCCAAATAAATTTTCTTCTGATTTATTTGTCATCCAGATGAAGAGAAGCCTCAGGTGGGCAACATCACCATCTCTGATGTGTCCTGGGACAGCTTCAGTGTGTCCTGGGAGCTGGACAGAGGAGAGGTTGAGGGCTTTCTGGTTGAAGTATCTGACCCAGATGGCTTATCTGATGGCCAAAACCATACACTATCTAGCCAGGAGTTCAGCCTGGCTGTCACTGACCTCTCCCCTAGTACTTTCTACAGGGTCATACTGTATGGGCTGTACAAGGGAGAGCTCTTAGATCCTGTCTTTGCTGAAGTCATCACAGGTATAAATTCTTGCAAAATCTTGGACCAGCTTGGTCATCTTTTGGCATCTTATCCAGTTTTCTTTGGATCAAATGCTGTCTCAAGCAGCAAAACCGACTAACCTCTTTTCTCTTTTAATGTTCAGTTAATCACATCACATGCTGAATTAAAACACGTTTTTTTTATTATTTCAACCAGTTTTTGCAGTCTTCGTAGTGTATTCATCTCTTCATCTACTATCATCTGGTACTGAAACTCATTTCCAGCTAGTATTTCTTGTGTTTTCCACTATTAATATAGAAAGTAAAGTAAGTATTTGGGCATTTTCAACAAAATAATGAATATAATGCAGCGACATCCAATATGACTGATTTCAGAAGAAATCCCAATTAATTGATACTTTTATTCAGCATGGATGCATTCATCAAAAGTGATCAAAAATGACATTTATAGACATTTATATTGTTTTAAAAGATTTCTAGCAAACATGTATCTTAAATTGTAATAATTTCAGAATATTACTGTTTTTTTACTGTAATCAATACTGTTAAGAGTTTCCAAAATATTTAAAAAAAATATTACTAACCCCAAAATTTTAAATAGTAGTGTAATACAGCATCATCCAACATGACTAAATCCAGAATAAATGTGTCTGAATAAGTCTATTTCTTTATATAGTGTATGAAAAACGATACATCAAATGTAGTATGTCAGAATAAACAGTTTTCATAAACCATATGGTCCGCTGGACATCATACAGTATTTGTAAAAAGCAAGGAGCAGCGATGTGGCTGATGTCATAAGTCACGTGACAATATCAACATGGTTGAATAATATGTCAGAATTGTATTTATACTACAACACATGCATACTTCGTAAACAAATGCAGTACATACTCTGACAGTACATGATTTCAGATGCAGATAATCTCTCAAATGTGCAAAGCACTAACAAACCAAGCCTCTTTTAAGTCAGCGACAGGTTCTGTGAAATGTCAGCACTCTTCCCATCTGCTGAATTATATGTTGAAGTATACTGACATTTAGAGCACACCTGCACTGCATCATAATGCCTAACACATTCACGTCTGCATAATCACCAGCACAGCCTGCAGGTGCAGTAAATGACCTCTGCCTGTCATGGCTGGTACATTTGTGTTTAACGGGCAAAACAAATTTAGACTAATGATGGCTTTTTCATTGTAATTGACTGCGGCATTCAACTCACATTGTTGGTGAGGCCATTTAAATCATTTAGTTTGTGGCATTTATAGTCTACCAGCACACCAGACAAGTTGTATTGTAGCAAACATACATTTATTAGGCGCATACCAAAGTTTTGCCCCTCCTCAGAGAGTCAGCGAATAGAGCGGGTGACTGGGCTGGGGTGTACTGCCATGGAAGTGATCCTGAGGAGTTTTTGTCGCTTTTTGTGAAGGATCTTTTCAGTATGCACGCCCACTTTTCTGACCCTGCGCTACTTCTCATTCTTATGCCTCACTTTCACACATTTTCTTGGCGTTTATCAGCCAGTGGCTGCAGGGGCCACAGTTGTAGCGCTCTCTCAAGTCTGCATGCAAATAGGCAGAGGAGAAGGGGAACTGATTGGATTTCTGTTAACCTCCTCTCTATTCATGACACATGACCCATGAACTTTTGCCTCACTCTGGCCTGAGTAATACAAGCTTTTAAAATCAGAAAAGTGTACAATATTTACAGAAACTTCGGTAGTTTTCTTGCTCTAGTTGGTTTGCGTATCCCTGCTATAACATTTAGCTGTGTCAACACAGATATCCCCCTCAGAGGTTTTAGCTGCCTGCTGTAGAATTACTGCTTCCAGACCTTGTTTCTGTAGGTTAGCTGGCACCTTTTCCACCTCCACAAACAGATGCCTCTTTGTCAAACCGGAGCGACTTAGAAGCCAGTCAGATGAAAGTGATCCTTGGAGAGCACATGTTAGTACTCTTGAAATGCCTCAAACACTGCTGACACTCTTAAACAAGTGAACAGTGCTAATGAAGAGGGACAGCTCCACAGGATTTGTCCTCGCTGGTTTTCATTTCCAACACTTTTCCACATTCAACAAATGTCTTTTCTGTTTCACATCATCCAGAGCTTTAGAGGAAGAAGAGGTTCAGTCTGGTCAAGGATCTTTTTTCTTTTCTTTTAAAAGTTTAGTTTAGGACAACAAGGCTCTGTTAAGGCATTGTTGGTTTGGAACAATGCTACATTGTTTTTTGAACATTTATGATCTCAGTATTCAGTATAACTACTGAATTTCCATTCCATTTCCATAATTAATCATGAGTATTCTCTCTCTCTCTCTCTCTCTCTCTCTCTCTCTCTCTCTCTGTCTTTTTCTTGGTAATAAACAAGATTAATCCCAAATTTCAATTCTAAACATAAAGTATATAGTTATTCCTTTTAAAATGTTATTTTTTTATTGCATTTATAAATAAACTATACATTTAGAGTCTGCCTGCTGGATTGTTAAACGTCTCTGGTTTTGAGTAAATTAAGTACAGCCTTAACTGTATTAGCATATTTAATTAGGTCAAGTTATTATAATAAGTCAATATGCTCCACCTTCTCCTTAATACTTAATAAAAACCTTTTATTAAGTATTGAACTGAATGTATGGTGCTATCATTGACTTCTAAAGTAAAGACAAGTAAAACTAATATGTAAAATGTGTGTGAGGCAGTAACTGATTCTTGGTACATGAAAAGCAAACCACAGCATTTTAAAACTGGACCACATTCTGGCACATACAAGGTTATTGTTGAAAACACAATGCATTGCTCATGTGGTCAAAGACATCCCTGAGGCTTTAGGTTTTCAGTTTTACATATCCTTACCACAACAATTGCTTCTTGAGAGACGTCCCTCTCAAAATTAATATATTTCATTCTTGCAAGATCAGCTAAAAACGAGACAAAAATGCATTTTCAGGATGAGTCTGTCAGTATGGTTATTATGGATATGTCATTGTCCAAGAACAGCTCTGTCTTAAACCCTGCATGACTGCTATTATATGATGATATAATTATGATGCTGGAACCTAATATAATGGTGGAAAATGCATCAATGTCATTTTTTTTTCTACTAACCATATTTCATTCCATATTCTAATCCAAATATCTAAATTAAATTTACTGGCTCACTGATTCCAGCATCACCTGCCGTAGATATAGGAGCAACTGATAGATGACTGAACAATAGCCTATTTTCATGCATGAGTAACATAATCACTGAATTGTCTCTTATACAGCAATGTTTTCCCCTTCTCAAATCTATATGATGTTTTAACAAACACCAGTGGTGGACAGTAACGGAGTAGTTTTACTTCGTTACTGTACTTAAGTAAATTTTTCAAGTATCTGTACTTTACAGGTTTGAGAAGAAAAAAATCATTATGAAAATATAATGATATTTTCCTTATTATATTCATTATTTCCTTATTGGTTATTTTGGTAAAATCCCAGGTATTTTGAGCAATAGGATTATAAAAAAAATATATGCTAATATAAAATTAAATGATAAAAGTAGCCTATATAAAACTGCAAAATAAATATTCATCTATCAGTACTTTTTACTTAAGTACATAAAAAATCAAGTACTTTTGTACTTTCACTCGAGTAAAATTGAAAACTGAGTACTTTTACTTTTACTGGAGTAATATTTTATTATACGTATCTATACTTTTACTCAAGTACTTGATTTGTGTACTTAGTCCACCACTGACAAACACCACAAACAGGAATAAATTGGTTCAGGGAACCACATTTGCAGTTCTTGGCCATTTAACCTCTTCTAAGTATGTTCCACAGAATTTACAGTGGAAGAACAACTTTATTATTTTTGTCAACCAGAAGCTGAACCTGAAGTGGAGCATCTTTCGGTCTCGGACATCACCCTGCACAGCTTTAAACTGACATGGACAGCACCAGAAGGCATCTTTGATACATTCACTCTCAAAGTCATCGATTCTAACAGACTGGGACAACCTCTCCAGATCAGTGTATCTGGAGACAAGCGAACAGAAGCGGTGACAGGTCTCAATGAAGATACGGAGTATGAAATCGAGCTCTTTGGGATCATTTTGGGACGGAAATTCCAGCCCATTGTGGCTGTAGCTCGAACAGGTATTTGGATTTTTAAGAGAAGCTGGTGGAGGAGCCACTAACTCTTTTTCCTCCACTCATTTTCAATGCATTAATATTTCTGTCAGCTAGTTAGGTCAAAACTCACAACACAACACAGGAAACCTTTTTTGAAGACTTTTTCATTGATCCATTACCTACTTTCCCATTTTTAACAAATTTACAACATCACTCATGTTCTTTTTCCTCATTGAGTCCACAGAGTAGCACAAGAGTTTCTAATTAACAACATCGCGTTGCATCCAAGTCTTCTCTGTTTTACTTTGTCTGTCTGTATCTGCTGTGTGATCGAAGGTTTTATTTACAAAGCAGGACCAACTATTTTGTGTATTTGTCCTGATTGCGAGCTTGTCTCTGGTAATCTTCCTTTATATTAGTGAGCTTTATTTTCCACTTGTGTCTGATGTTGGCATGTCACACTATTGTGTCTCTGTACTGGGGGGCAAGTTAATCTGCTTGCATCTGTCACGCAAGATTCTGAGGACCAGTGTTGAGACATGGCTTTAAGGCCAGGGCTTTTGTCTGTGTGTCCTTTCTCTGTAGTCGCACAGTTGGTCATCCTCATGTCCTGAATGTTTACTTTGATGCATCTATTTGTCACAGCAAGATAAATGGGGTAGTTCAAGAAGTTTCTTTACACCAACTGCATTTTTGTTTCTCTTACAGTCTGCAATTAATGGTTTCTGGGGAAACGTTTTGTTTTTAACTCCTAATTGTCAAATGCTTGAACACACATTTTTAACAGTATATTTTTGTTTGTTTCTTCTGTGTGTGTCATTCCCACCAAGGTCTGGGAACACCCAAGGGGATACGCTTTTCTGATGTGACCGATACATCAGCTACTGTTCACTGGACTTTGCCCCTTACCCGAGTAGACAGCTTCCGGGTCACCTACGTGCCCGTTCAGGGTGGTAAGTGGCGTGGTCATGGTTTCAGTTACTTTTTTAAAATTTACATTACAATTCACAAGTTTGTATATTATTATATATTAGTACAAATGAAAATGACTGTTTTCATTTTGGATATATTTTAAAATGTAATTTATTCCTGTGCAAAGCTGAGTTTTCGGCATCCATTACTCCAGTCTTCAGTGTCACATGATTCTTCAGAAATCAGTCTAATATGATGATCTGATGCTCAAGAAACATTTTATTATTATTATTATTATTATTATCAACGTTGGCATTTTTTTTTTTGGATGAATAGAAAGTTCAAACAACAGCATTTATATGAAATAGAAACATTATAGATGTCTTTACTATTTGATCAATTTAATGTGTTCTTTCTGAATAAAAGTATTAATTTCTTTTGGGGAAAAAATAACTTTCTTACCTAAAACGTTTGAGAGGAAGTGTACTATTTATAGCACATTTGGACCTTTTGTTCTGGAAATTAAAGCAAAGTATTCTAGTTGGCACACAGTCCATCTTAAGAAAGTGGTGAGACTTAACCGTATGATTTTCTGTGCATTTGGATGGTTGCCTGTTGGAAAATCATAGTATTATTTGTACTTCCTCAGTTTATGATTTGTCATAAATTATATCTTATGTAAAATATTGCATAAGTTGCGGAGGAAATTCTGTTAGACTGCCGTCTTGGCATAATAAATTGATTGAATTCAAGAGATGTCTCTCTAAAGTCTCATAGTGTCCTTTTGGCCTCTGTGATCAGTGCAGGTTTTTAGATCAGGCCCATCTACAGTAACATGAATCTATCAGTGCATATCGTAAATAAAACCACACTGTTTTATCCATCAGCACAGCATTCTTGCGTATCACCATGCCAATTAATCACAGACAATGCTGCCCTCTAGTGACAAAAGCTAATTCTAGTTTACTCCAGTGTTCTGTCTCCCCCTGCAGGAAGCCCTGCGACACTGAGAGTAGATGGAGGAGAGTCTCAAGCCATGCTGCCCAATCTGACCCCTGGAGTAACCTACCAGGTCACTGTCATCGCTGTGAAGGGCTTGGAGGAGAGTGAACCAGGATCTGATAGAGTCACAACAGGTATGACTAGAATATTTTTATAATCAATGTTGGATGTAATGCAAATACAAAGTAATTAGTTACTGTAATTACTTTTAAGTCAAAATGTAGTGTAACTTGATTACATTTTAATTCTGTTACCTCATTACTATTTAATGATCTTAAGTTACTTTAGTTACATTTTAGTTACTTTTTAGCATTTTAACATGTTTTTTAAATAAAATGTATTAAGGTGCTTTTAAAGCATGAATTATACCTGTCATGAGCGAGATCTATAATATAATATGCCTATAATATGTATATTATATGTGATATGTATTATCTGAGGTAGAAATGTGAGGTGCTGAGTGTATGCTTTATACACAGTGATGAACAAGCAGGAAACAGAGACACTAATTTCAGTTTGTTGAGAGGAAATGTTTTTTAAAGTAACTTAACTTAAAAATTAGTAATGCAATTTCTTTTTCAATTAAATAATTAATAAACTGGTTTAATTTTAATTTTAGAGAAGAAATTGGTAACAAAAATTACGAACATTTTTATGAAAAAAGTAATTTGTAGTGCATTACTATTTTTGATTAACTCATCCAACACTGATTGTAATTTCACAAATTGCATCTTTCTATAGTTTAAGGAATAGGAAAGCTCTCACCAAAATGCTTATCAGCAAGAGTGAATAGTTATTATTAATTATGAAATAATTGAACATTAATATAAAAACATTAATATTATAGTTATTTATTCATTCATAATTTTAATATTATAAAATAATAAATAATTAATTTATTTTTCAGCATGTATTCATAACTAGATTCTGTATTATTCAGTACAGTAAGTATGAGTTTTTTGCTTTCCTGTCTTGCAGAAGCCTTGTAATCGACTTCAAGCTGTCTCTCAGTGATTTTGCTTCTCTCTTGTCTCTCTGTTTGTGTCTGTTGGCCTCAGCCCTGGATAAGCCACGAGGTCTGACAGCAGTCAACATCACTGACACTGAAGCTCTGCTGCTGTGGCAGCCGTCCGTCGCTACTGTGGACGGATATGTCATCACTTACAGCGCAGACAGTGGTAACAGCTCAGACTGCCATTAATTATTCTTGAGGGAAGGCTGTTTCTATAGACTAAAACAATAAAGCAGTGAGTCTCAGTTGTGTGTTCTGTTCTTTGACAGTGGCTCCAGTGATGGAACGGGTGTCTGGGAACACTGTGGAGTTTGAGATGAGCTCACTCACACCTGCCACCTTATACACCGTTAAAGTCTATGCTGTCAGAGAAGCAGCCAAGAGCGCTGCAACCACCACAGAGTTCACCACAGGTAAATTGAACACTCACCCTTACACACAAACACCACAAGACATCTGAATACTCATACAAAAGAAATATTTAATTGGTGTAGAGAAAAACAGCACACCTTCTGACATCTGATCCTACTGGGCAAAATACATAAGCACCTTTGACCTGGTGAAAATCATAAAATCACATTGCCAATTATATGTGCATGCTTATACCATTTGTATTTCATTAAGAATTCTGAATGCCAGGTTAATAACCAGATACACTCTGCTGCAGATGTTGATGCCCCTCAGAATCTGGCTGCCAGTAATATTCAAACAGAGAGTGCCATGTTGACATGGAAGCCACCAAGAGCAGACATCAGCGGGTATATCCTCAGCTTTGAGTCCACTGATGGCATTGTCAAGGTGAGTGGACCGCTTGAACACACAACCAAACTTTAAACGTGATTTACACCCTTAAAACTGAAGCTTGGTCATTTGTCTGGTCTACAGTGATTATTAAATGCATGGTCCAATGCCAATTCTGTGCTGTACTGAAATGTTCCTCGTTTTCTTCTCTTGGCTCAGGAGGTCGTCCTCAGTCCCACAGCAACATTTTACAGCATGTCTCCGCTGACTTCCTCCACAGAGTACACAGTCAAACTGCAGGCCATCGCTGGGCCAAAGAGAAGCAGAATCATCTCTACAGTCTTCACCACCAGTGAGCCAAAGCACAATGTCATTACATGATCACAAACTCTTTTTTTTTTACTCTTAGTTGTGAAGACTGAACAAAATAAACTAGCCTCTGGTCAAACACTTTTTTCTTTATGACAGTCGGAGTGCTGTACAAGCATCCTAAAGACTGCTCGCAGACTCTGTTAAATGGAGAAACAACCTCAGGCCTGTACACTATTTTCCTGCGTGGAGATGAGACACAGCCTCTGCAGGTCTACTGTGATATGACCACCGATGGAGGTGGCTGGATTGTGAGTAATTCTTTTTCAAATAACATGCAGGATAGAAAGATTCACTGTTCTGATCCTAGAGAAAAACAACAAAAACACAAGCAATTTATATATATATATAGTCTAAAGGTCCAATAAAAAGTTTCAGTTCAATATCACATTTTTCTGACTATTATTTAATATGTCAGGCTTTACAGGGTTAAATTAAAGTCTCATTATACACAGAGAGCAAAAACACAGGTCATTGTAATATTGTGGTACCTCCATTCAGGTTTTTGTGAGACGGCAGAGCGGTAAAGTTGAGTTTTTCAGAAACTGGAAGAACTACACTGCAGGCTTCGGTGACCTGAATGATGAATTCTGGTTGGGTATGTTTACATCTGTGCACACATATCAAATTGCTAAATTGCCCCAGGAAGTATAGAGGCCCTAAGGTATTATGATATGGTGTAATTTTGAGCGTGTTGTTATACAAATCTCATTCTATGTGTCTGCAGGTCTCTCTAACCTCCATAAGATCACCTCCTCTGGGCAGTATGAGCTGCGTGTGGACCTCAGAGATAAGGGCGAGTCTGCGTATGCGCAGTATGACAAGTTTTCAGTCTCTGAACCACGCAGTCGCTACAAAGTGCATGTTGGAGGATACAGCGGCACTGCAGGTAAAGTCTTAGATCTTTCTCTACTTCAACATATAGTTTTCATATTGTTTTTTAATTAATTTGTAATATTTTTGTGTTATATACAGTATATATATTTATATATATATACTGTATATACACATATATATATATATATATATATATATATACACAGAGATGGGCAGTATTTCAGATACATGTATTTAAAATACGTAGCCTATTTGAAATACAAAATACTATTTTGTATTTTAAAGCCTTTGGAAATTCTTAAAAACACTCAAGATTAGTATTTTTGTATTTTCAAAATACATAAAATACTTTGTGCCAGTCAACCTCTTTATCAGGGTGCTGATTTTGTGCATCAACTAGACATGCCCCCTCCCCCAACCCCAACATTCATGCATGTGAGCTGCAGCTGTACAGCTCCATTCAGCATTGGGTGAGGGACTTTTCTGGAATAAGATAAGAAAAAGGCCTATAATAAATATTATAGTTTAAGTATATTTGTAAGCAAATATATCTGTGCTGCTTTTAGTGGGAAAACGTTGGAGTGGAAAAAGCAGCATGGACAAATGGATGAGTAATAGAGCGTGATGTGTTTGTTATTGATGTGTCTTATTATAAGTGCAGTTTGCCGTGAAAGGAAATTCAAATTCGCACTTACACTACTTAAACCCACACAAAAGAATCATGTAAAACCCAGTAAACTTAAGATTATGACTTGTGACATTAGAACAAAACATATTGCATGAATATGATAAATAACATATGTATAACACTAAATTGAACAATACTGATTATTGATTACAATACTGAGACAAACACTGAGGAATGGTACACCACAAAACATCTTCAGCTTTTGGTTTTATTGTTCATTCAAAAAAAAAAACTGAGCATATAGTGTTAAATGCTATTTAAATTAATTCTAATTTTAAAATGTACATTTTAGATAAACGTTCTAATTTGAATAAACTTTCTATACAACAAAATAAACTTTACATTAAATAAATATGAAAAGTTTTAGTTTTGTAGTTTTGTATTTCCTACACATCTAAATATTTTTTTTCACACACACACACACACACACACACACACTTGTTTTATCACACACACACACACACACACACACTTCTTTTTCCCCTGGGAGTTCTCATTGACAATGACAGCTAAATGTTAACCGGATGTATTTGCCCTTTAAAGATTTTTTTAAAGAATTCTTTAGGAATGTATTATTTATAAAAAACGACATAGAGGAAGAAAAAGAAAAGTTGATCTACCCACTGAATCATGTGTGATCATCCACTAAACAACAATACAGTGCTGCAGCCGTGACGTCAAAACTCAGACTAATTCGGCATGCGTTCCATATGGTTTTTTATTATGGGGTTTTTCAATTTATGTGTAAAACAAGGTCTGTGGTAAATAAATTGACAATACTTGGATGTCAATTTATATTTCTGGGTTTTGACGTCACGGCTGAAGCATTCCATAGCCCTACAGGAACATCCATTTTAAGCTGGTTGCTTTGTTTTAGTTTGTGGTGCAAGCTGATCATTTTGGTCCAGCAAAAACTAAGCTATCAGCTCGTTAGTTCTCCTGTCATATGTCTGTTAATGTGCATCAAATTAAAGTTTATTTAACCCAAAACCCATAGGCCTAATGCATTACAGGCTACAGGCAGGGATGGGCAGTATTTCAGATACATGTTCAAATATGTATTTGAAATACAAAATACTATTTTGTATTTAAAAGCCTTTGGAAAAAATCACATGTATTTTGCATTTAAATACATTTAAGATTAGTATTTTTGTATTTTCAAAATACATAAAATACTTTGTGCCAGTCAACCTCTTTATCAGGGTGCTGATTTCGTGCATCAACTAGTTAGACACTCACCCTCCCCTGAACCCATACATTCATACATGTGAGCTGCAGCTGTACAGCTCCATTCAGCATTGGGTGAGTGACTTTTCTGGAATGAGATTAGGTGAGGATGTCATGGTCAATTGTATTTGTTGAATAAAGTTAAAATAGTGCATCATTCAGATTTGCCTTCAGTTAACATGAAAGAATAAAAGAATAAATAGATATAAAAACAATAAAAGAGAACAAACAAGGGGAAAAATAGCATTAGCCAATCAGTTTTGATAGTTAATCGGATGTTTTTTTTATCAACTAGCTTGTCAAATGTGTTTAAAGCATTACTGCATGTTAGGGCTGGGTGATATGACAATTCATATTGAGGCGATGATATAAAGTGTGAATAGTTCAATCAAGTGTGAATTGATTTAACTTTTTCTAAATCGTTTACATAGAAAAAGGCCTATCGGTGTAAGCAAATGTATCTGCAGCGGAAAAAGAGTGGAAAAAGAATGGACAAATGATTGAGTAATAGAGTGTGATGTGCTTAATGCAATAGCACTTATTATAAGTGCAGCATGCCGCAAAAGGAAATTGAAGTTCACACTTGCACGTCAAGCAGTTTTTTGCGCTCCGAGATGGAGTGGAATGCCGACAAGTAGGCTACACTTTTGGCTTAAAGGCCCTTTCACACGGGACGTGGCAAGCGGTGGAAACACCACACAGCTGCCACTTTCTCTCGTACTGGAAGCAGTTTGTGCAGTTGAAGCCTTGTTTATACTTTCACCAGCCTCTACACCGCGAACCTGCTGACTGCGCGCTCCTCCCTAAATGGTCACGGCTTTTTTGACACTTGCTTGACATTGTATAATTCTGTGAAACGACAGGGGGGCGACTCAGAGTCATTGTTCTCCAAACCATCAGAAAGCAGCGGTAAGAGGAAGTAGTTTGCCGAGTAGTTTGTCAAACAATCATTTCATGAGAAGTTTGTGAATAAATGGATTTCTTCACATATAAACCGATAAGGTGGTAGGTCATTTTGGAGGACACATGTGAAAATATTTTTGAGTACACTACTTAAACCCACACAAAAGAATCATGTAAAACCCAGTAAACTTAAGATTATGACTTGTGACATTAGAACAAAACATATTGCATGAATATGATAAATAACATATGTATAACACTAAATTGAACAATACTGATTATTGATTACAATACTGAGACAAACACTGAGGAATGGTACACCACAAAACATCTTCAGCTTTTGGTTTTATTGTTCATTCAAAAAAAAAAACTGAGCATATAGTGTTAAATGCTATTTAAATTAATTCTAATTTTAAAATGTACATTTTAGATAAACGTTCTAATTTGAATAAACTTTCTATACAACAAAATAAACTTTACATTAAATAAATATGAAAAGTTTTAGTTTTGTAGTTTTGTATTTCCTACACATCTAAATATTTTTTTTCACACACACACACACACACACACACACACACACACACACACACACACACACACACACACACACTTCTTT